ATGCACTTAATTTGAGGAATTCAGGGTCTTCAAAGCAGTTTTGCTTTGCTGATTGTGTTACTGTATGTAGATTATATGATTACAGTATTTTGCATTGCTAGAAGACTTTGTGCACATTTAAAGACTAATAACACAACAGTGAAGTAGATGTGTTACCCATTTTCCTAATGACTAAACCGAGACAGAAAAGTAATTTGCTTAAATTACTCTGAGTTTGAGCAGGACTAGTGTCTTACCTATTCATCCAAGCATGATAACAATGGAGTGACTTATCCTGGGGAATCGTGGGCTTCAAAATCAGCTCGTTTTTATTAACTATTTGAGAAATGTTTCTTTCCCTAGCAGTGATTTTTTCATGTGTTCGTAATAACTCCTGTTGTATAGCCCCCACATCATAACACCTACTCAGCTCTGAGAGACAATGTCGGGGTTTTTCACTTGCTAGTGGGTATTCTGTTCTAACCAGTGTCTGAGGCTGACTTAGTAATACAAATATATTTGTGTCTATGCAAAAATAAGGTATATAGGGGCACCACTTTTAAAACAGAAATCTGAATGAATATATTGTTTTTATCTATAAGAAGCTAAGGTCTTACTGCATTTTTCTAGGAGTTTGTTACAAGTGAAGGAGATGATGATCCAGAAGTTGAATTTTTAAAATCACTATCAACCAAACAAAAACAGAAACTTCTAAGGTAGGTCTGGTACTTAGTGGAGGGGATATGTATCACCATTAGTTCTGACTACATCCGTGATTGCCACTGTAACTTTTTGGTGCCATTTAGCACCATCAGTGCAGAAGAAAATCAGCTTAGTTTAACATACACTTGACCACAAATGGCATTATGTCACATGATTTTTAACCTACTTGTTTTATTTTAATCTAATTTTGATGCCTTTGACTGGGGCTCATTTCCAGTTTAACTGGGATACTGAAATACTAATTGGCTCACTAGAGATGCTTTGCTGCTATTTTAAAATACTATTCTGCACTCTGTTGTTTACAGTATCTTCTCTTGTGATAAAAAATTCTGTGCTCTTGTTCAGTGGTTTACAACTTGACAAAGTTTATCTTTGCCCTGTGGCTGAACTGAACCTGACTCTGTACCCCAACGCCAAGGCTGGCCCAGCTGCACCCTGTGCTTGTGTCAGGGCTTGCAGCTTACTGCTCTCTGTGGGTCTGAGTTAATGACATTCCCATGCTTTGCTTTTATCCAAGTGATGCTGTGTGCCAAGTGACTAATACGTTTTTTCTCTCTTCATTTGCAATGTTATCCTGAAATAATCTCAAAATGTTTAAAATGAAAAATACTAACTGCTGGCAGGTAGATCCCATAGAGGCATGCAGATGAAACAAGCTTTTAGGATAAAAGATGTCACATATGTGGGGAGTGGAAGGGGAGGGGGGGAAAGGTGAATGGCTAAGCAGGTAGTAGGTAGGTACATATGGTATTCACATATGTAATAATTCTCTGAAAACAGTCAACGTGTTTTATGTTCCTTTTAAGTAAGGAATGTGTATGTAGATAGAGTAATCTAAAATGTTATTTTTGTTTGAACTTCTGCTGGCCCAACACATTGAAATTTTTATAATCTTTTATATTTTAGAAGTTGAAGTTTAGTAAATATTTGGGTCCTTTAGGCTTTATTAGTCTGAAGGGATTTTTTTAATACACTGGCAGCAGTTTCACTATTCACTCACTGGTTTTCTGAGCATAAATACAGAAAGCAAAATAAAAACTACATGAAAGTAGTTGAATAGTATGCATGAGCATGATGGAATATTGTATATTTACAGATAGAAAATGTAAGTTTCTAGTTGTGAAAAAAGAGGTTACTGGAAATATCTGTTATTTGCCTAAAGAACTCAAAGACGTATGTTTTAGTCTCAGTTTTCATCATTAATTGAAAGTGAATACTAATTGCATTTTTTCGTTTTCAAAATACTTTTTTAAAATGCACAAACAAAAGCAGCAATGATTTTCTGAAGTCTCCAGAGCAGCCTGACAAGGAGGAAGAAAGCACTACTGAATGTTTTTATTCCTAGTTACAAGGCCCAAACTGACATCTCTTACTTATGTTTTTGGAAATTAAAGAATTAAAAAATCATATTATTCCTGTTTTGAGGGAGCAGTTGTGGATTACATACTATGGGTAATGCAGGTTAGAAGTTTTAAAATTACACTTTGCTGAAAAAGGAAAAGAATTCCATGTTTTTTTATAAAAATGAATGTATTTACTGTGTAGGTCATCAGAAGTAGTGAACTTTCAAAGACAATGACTTTGTAATCTAGTATATCTTAACATATCTGATTGTGCCACTCTTTTATTTTGAAAACAAAAGGAAGTTGGATCGTCTAGAGAAGAAAAAGAAAAAGAAAGATAGAAAGAAGAAAAAGCAGCAAAAGAAAAAAAGCAAAAGTAAACACAAGAAACATAAGATGAGATCCTCTTCCTCATCCTCCAGTGAGACTTCAGTAAGCAGCAGTGACAGTGAGACTGACAGCAGAGATAAAGCAGCACAAAAGAAGATGGATTCTAAGAAAAGAAAAAAAGACAAGTTTTCAGAGGCTAGCAGCAGCAGCGATTCAGAAGGAAAGGCAAAAACGAGGAAGGAAAAACTTTATGAAGATCTCTCCAGTAGTCACGGTAACAAGGACAAAGACAGGGAGAAGTACAAGCTTTTAAAGCGAGATAGTTCTGCAGAGAACAACAAATGGAACTCCTGTGAGGGGGAAAGAAAGTCCACAAGCAGATACCATAGCACGAACACGAGAGACACTGAAAGAAAGGAGAAGGATAGTAGAAGCCAAAACATGAATGAGGGGAGCAGGAGAAGCCCGTGCTCAAATCACAGCAGTTGCAGGCAAAGGCACATAAGAAGAAGTCCAAGTCAAAGCCCTGGTGAAGAGCGGCACAGGAAAAAGGACACCAGAAGCCCCAGCACAGATGTACACAGAGAGAGGGGAAAATGTAGAGAAGGCCATGGGGACAAGTGCAGTAAAGTGGAACACAGAGAAAGGAGCAGACGCAGTAGAAGCAGAAGCAGAGAGAGGAAAAAAAATAGATAGTATAGGGGACAGGTGCAAACCAGAACTTCTCTGGGTTTTGATGAATAGCTTTCAACAAGGGCTCAGTTGCATACTGCTGTTCATTTTCCAGCCTCTGGAACTAGCATTTCCTACACAGAGCCAACAGCTTTGTGTATGGCTCAATTCTATTGTGTTGGAATACTTGTAAATTAGGTATAAACGTTAAGGTATTTTTTTACTGTCTAAATATGCTTATTGGCAAATACCTCTTGTATACATGCAGTAATTCACAAACTTGATTTTAGGATTTTAAAATATTTGAAAGCAGTATGTGATACTCTTGGTTTCATCTATGATTTCTGTTTAGATGCAACTGCGAGGGGAGCAGAGAAAGCAATTGAGATAGTTCTGGATAAGATCACTGCTTTAGATATCAAAGCATTGTCTTGTAGAGGGTTTTGGTTTTTTCATACTGAAACATTTTTCCTAAAGTTCCCTGTAAGAGATCAATTTTATGAGTTAAAACAACAGAGAGACATAGTTCACATAAGTGTATAGCCAACATTTTCTGGCCTCCTGCAGTGTACAGCTTGGTCAGGGCTATCTAAACATCTTGAACCCCTGTTGGTATGTGTCAGTACAATGTCAAGTTATTGTTCAATAATCTCTCAAGACATGAAATGAATATTTACTGCCTCAACTGCTTCAGGTATTTCATTGTTTGGGGTAGTAAGTTAGTGTAAATAGTCATCCTTTTGTTTTCATGAACCTTTTTGTGTTTTTAGTGGCTGTCAGTCATTTTCTGCATATGTTGTTATGAAGATGAACTTCCATAATAAAATACCTTATTCTTTAAAACCAGTAATAATTGCCATCTTCTTCAGAGTTCTGAGTCAGTACAAATGCACAAGGCAACACTTCACAAGGTTTTTATTGCAAAGGAAAGGCTTCTCTGCTCTTTCAGGATGGCAGATGGAAGCACATTCATTAGTGGACACGTGAAACAGTCACTGTGCTCAGTATTCCAGCAACTTTCTTACCCTCCTCACTCACAGGACAAATGGGACTATCTTTTATTACCAGTCCACTTCCACTTCACTCAGAAGATTTTCAGCACTGCACAGAGTATAATAATACATGGTGAAAGTGACCTGGCTTATCGTTTAAGTGCATGTGAAGAGTTTGAAAGGGTGAACCATTAAGAGATGTCACCTTTTCAATGTGTCTGCATTAGGTTGCTCTGGGCAGTCTTGCTGAAGTAGCTGGGAGTTAAAGAGCCCCTGCAGTAGAGTCAGCCCCCCATATTGATGTGTGGAAGCTCTGATTTAGAAAGAACAGGAGGAGACTGCAAAAATGCCTGTTTTAGCAATCTAAACAAAAGCTCTGTGTAAGAGAGAACAGAGTAATGTGATAAGGGAAAAGGTATGAACATTTTTGTGTTAAGTGCAGCAGGAAAGGGGAATAACTGGAAGGTGCCTCCGTTTCAAAGAAGGGCCTCCCCAGTTGTTTTGTGTTTGGCTCAGGAATCCTGCCAGCTACAATGCAATTGACTCCCACCTGAAGAAGACTGGACAGCTCGATTAGCCACAGCTGTTTGCTATTTTGTGGGCTCTTCACTTTACTCCTTTCCGTGTAGTTAAACAGTGTATCCTGCCCTTTCCTATAGGAAGTGACGGGCAGAAAAGTCATGATATTTTGGATGTATCTGGCTTAGACTACCAGGGGAAGGTTGGTGTGGCTGTGCAGGCAGTGTCTCACTCCCGGTACCTTCCCTAGGCCAGTTGGTAAGGAAGCGACCCTCGGGGGCCCAGAGGCCGGCTGCGGGAGGGTGGGGCCGCCCTCGCCACAGGGGCCCCGGCCGGAGCGCTCGGGGCAGCGGGGATGGGCCGGGCCGGGGCAGGCCCGGGGCGCTCTTTGCCCGCTGCCCTCACGGGCACGGCCCGCGGCGCGGGGCGGCTGCGCGCGCCCGGCCCCGCCCCGGCCCGCGGGGCCATGGGGCGCCACCGCCCCAGGCCGAGCGCGGCGTTCGGCAGAGCCGGCGGGGCCCGGCAGGAGGTGCTGTCGCTCCGTGGATGGAGGTAAGAGCAGCTCCAGCGATATCGCTATTCCCTTATTTATTTATTTATTTATTTTCGTAAGAGCCGTGGAATATGGTTAACCTTCTGCGGGGCCGGGCGGTGGGGGCCGCGGCGCCGTGAGGTGGTTCCCTCAGCCTGGCGGGGAGGGCAGGGCCCGTGGCAGGGACTCGCCGGCCTCGGAGCGGGACCCGGCGGCTCTCCTGGGGCGGGCGGGCGGCTCTGCCGGGATCTCTTCTCCGGCTTGGCCCGAGGGCTTGGGGCTACGTCGGGCTGGGGTCCCGTCCCCGCCGGGGCCGTCGGGCGGCTCTCGGCGCGGGCCTGGCGGCGGGGAGCTTCGGGCGAGGGGTCCCGGGCCGCTTTTCGGGTGCGCCGCCCCGCCGGACCCATGGTTTAGAATTAACGCCGTGCAATAAATTATTACTAGTCCGAAAGTAAATAGACGGGTTACTCCCAGATGGGGCTCCTGCTCGGATCGGTACAATAAATATCCCTGAAGGAAGCTCTCTATTTATGTTGTCATTGATTAATTCTCGCTACCTCATTTGATTTCGATTTAGAACGATTTGATTCTAATTTAATTAGCATGTAATTTGGATGTACATAATTACTGTAATTATGACATTCAGGTGAGGCAGCTTTAGGCTGAAAGGCAATTTCAAATTTTCTAGCAGCCTACTTTGTGCCGGGGAGCGGACAGGGACCCCGCGCCCTGCCAGCCAGGTACCAATTAGCCCATCTCGGGAGCAGCGCTGCCGCTCGTTTGTGGAACAACAGCGGCGCCGAGGCGGCGGCGGCGGCACAGCCGCGCCCGGGGCCCGCCGGCGGGTGCCCGCCGGGAGCCGCGCCCGGCCGCAGGTGCGGGGCCGCGCGGAGATCGCGGAGCGGTGACCGTCGAGGGCCCGGCCGCCCCTCCGGTTGGCGGCCCGGGGAGCGGCGAGGCCGGGCCGGCTGCCCCGGGCTGGGTGTGCGCTCTGTCGCTGCGGGCCAGTCCCGCCCCGCCGTCTGCCACAGAAGTTCACGCTAGCCCGCCCGCTCCCCGGGGCCCTCCCCAGCCGCCGCTGCCCCCGCGCTCCTGCCGCCGTCTCCTCGACGCTGCCCGGCCCGCGCAGCGCCGCCGCCCCCGCGGCCGCCCCGGCCGCGCCCCCGGCCCGCGGGAGCGCCTCTAGGTGGCGCCCGGCAGCCGCCGTGCGGCCCGCGCGGGGCAGCGCCGCGAGCGTCCCGGTGTGCGCGCTCGGTCTTGTTCTGCTCTCCTTTTTGTAATGTGCGTGTGAAGGATGTTATTCCTTGAGGAAATTTGTAGCTAAATTATTCTCACTTAAAATAAACACTTAGCACAGCAATTACTCAAAGGGGCGGGCTGTCTGTTAGCTTCCCTTCATCTGCGTTTTGGAAGGGTGGGAGAGGATCCTGGCGAACAGATAATGGCTGCAAATAAATTACAGCTCCCGCAGATAAAGTTTCCATTTGAATTAAAAGACGCAATTAAGAGGCTGTCCAGGCACGAGATCGGGTGTTTATATATTATCTCATTAGAACAAAAACATTAATGTTACCTTTTAAGTGTAAAACGAGCCGTTGGGTCTGTAACTCGCCGCGGGGGGCAAGGGACACGCTTCCTGCGAACGGGGGACCTAGCGATCGAATGTCATTTAGTAGATAATTTTTCCTGACATTTTGCCGTCTTCCGTCTGTGGTGGTAGCCGTCGCTGGCTGGTTTTTTGTCGTGTTTTAACGGGCTCTCGGAGCAGGGTTGAAGTTGCTGTCCGCGAGGTATGGAAATGGGCAGCAATAGCTGGACCGAGATTGTAAATGGGAGCTAGGCTCAGCTGACGGGCAAGCCCGGGGCGAGCGGGGCCAAGGCGGCGGGGAGCCCGGCTTCCCCTGTGCCACCCTTCCCGCCGGGGCCCGAGCGGGCACCCGTCTTGTTCCCCGTGCTCTCCTGCTCTCGGGTTCGCGTCCTCTTACTAAAGAGGTGAACTACGGATTGAAAGACCGAAATCAGATTTATTTTTCGGGTTCTGACACCGTTTGTTCTTTAGGGTTTGTTTTTTGGATAATTTTTTTGTGTAGAAGTTCCCCAGACCATATAATTATCTCCAACGTTTACGAATGAATGGTGTCATTTATTTTTTTAAAAGGTGACACGCTTTCTATTTTCTTGGTTAAACGAACCGGCTCTGCGGCCCAGAGCTGCTCCCTTCCTCGTTTCTGGGGAGTCTGTAAGTGATGGACGTTTTCTGACCCGAAGGGGCAAAGGCAATGCAAAAAGGTCCTTGATCACTGAGCTGAGAATTGTAACCCCGGCCTGGCAGAAACTGGACCTGCATGGTGTCCTTTGATGTGTTTTATTATAAATCGAAAACAAAGCTGACTTCTGCCCAGCACCCCGCGCGGGTGCATTCCTGCGCAGCCCCCGGGCCGCCCGGCAGGGAGGAGAGCCGGCTCCCGCCGCCCGGCCCGCTCTGTGCCACCGCCGCCCGAGCGCGTCCCCGCTGCCCTCCCCTGCCCGCCGGGAAACCTGCCGCCTCCGGCCGGGGCGGCAGCAAAGACACCTTGCCGGGGTGCTTTCGGCCAGGAAAATTCCGGAGCGGCTCTCGGGGAAGGTGCTGTGGGCAGCCGTGAGGCGAGGTGCCTCTCCCGGGAGGCTCCTTTCCCCCGGCCCGCGGAACGGCCCGCCGGGCTCCCGTCGCCGCCCCGGGGCACAGGCGGTGCCGGCGCTGCCCGGCCGCTTTTGTGCAATAGTGGCGCGGAGGAGGTGGGACGCGGTTATTAGTATTCACGGCAGATGTATTTTCTTTAACGCAACGTCTTTATTCCAGTTGGTGGCCGACAGCAGAATCCGTTTCTCGATGCTATTTGCATTCCCTGCTTTATGGAGGATTAAAATATTTGTATTCATCCAATCTGTACCGGCCAGAGTAAATTAACTTTTTTTTCCTCACCCTCTTCTTTTTTTTTTTTTTTTTTTTTTTTAATAACACAATTATCTCATTTAACAATTTGCCTTTAAAAAAATACTGTGGCTGTTAGGTTGGTGGTCAGGAGACAAAGGGAGTGAAAATAATTTTCATTTCAATAATTGCCTTCTGGTCAATTTAACTGTGCCTTATTTTGAAAGAGCCTGTCTAAATGAGATTCCTGTCCCAAATGTGTTCCCAGGCCTTAGCCCAGCCTTTAATTATTCCTGAGTTTTTTTTCTTCAGAATAAGACGCTGCACTGAGTAATCACAAAGAAGTCAGAGAGCATCCTTGAACCTTTTCAATAGCAAAGCCACTGATATTCAAATAACATGCAAGGACCATTTGACTGCATGGGGACATAAGCATTTCCAATTCACTATTTGCATAGATCAACTGTCTTTGAAAAGGAAAGGAGCAGTTGTCTTCCATAACATTAAAAAGCCTAGTTATCAAATCAAGTGCTTAGTTTGGGGCTTTTAAAACGTTTACATTTTATCTTAGGTTGCCCTTTACCGTTTGACATGCAAATTTGGTGCAGTTAATTTGGACAATTAAAAGGATCTTCAAGGGAGCTTTGTCACCGAGAATATTCGGAGTTTTCCCCGCGGACCAGCTGAGATAAAGTTGGCCAGAACAAATGATGTCTAGGAGATTAATTAGATATTTGATAAGACATGAATCCCTAATAAGGGAATACAAGGCACAGGGGGCTGCTGTGTGCTCTAAGTCAAAATTAATAACATTTAACAAGATTTTCATTTAGGCATGAAATGTCTTTTCCGGAGTATTGACTCTAGCGATTTATTCCCCCGAGATCACCTCCCAGCCTAGGCAGCCTTGTGGCGCTGAAGGCTTTTAAAATTAAATAAATAGTTCCTCAGCGCAGTTTGCCTTCACTCGATTTTGGGGACGGTTTCACCAAAGCCACTTAGGTCTCAGCATGGTTTCCGGCTGCAGTAGGGCTCGGACTCGGTTAAAATTTGTTGGTTTTTTGTTTTGTTTTTTAAAGTAAATCAAAGCAAAGGCGGCTTGAAAAGAGCGAGCAGAGTGGTTCAGTGAGCCCGGCTCAGGGGCCGGTCCCATCCCCTCCCAGCTATATCATTGCTGACTATTTTTAATCACAGTGACTGTAAGGACGATGGAAAGGGGTGCAAGGGCTCCTACTCAAAAAGTGACCCCTGCGAGGACTGGGCGGGGGGGGAAGGAGGGGACACGAAGAAGAACAAACCCGTGAGTATATTGTTCAGAGTCCTTTAATAATACCAAAATGAAAATATGTCAAGATTTTTTTCCATACAGATAAACGCATTTAATTTCTTTAAGAGACCTTAACTTACGTGTATTTGAGTGAAGTGTTAACTCAACATTTTAAATATCTTTTACATATATACTGACTTCCACAAAGTGCATCAGAAATTTATAATTAAAAAAAAAATCAAAACCCCAAAACCTCCCTGAATTTCAGGAATTCACCAATTAAAAAAAAAAAATCCCCAACCCCCCTATCAGATCAACATTTACAAGAAAAATAAGGGAACACGATCTGGTTTTCTTTTTTTTTTTTTTTCCTGTTTTTCTTCTTTTTTGAACCCTATTTATACAGATGTTTATGGGATACAGAGGGACCGTCTCAGAGTTGCAGCTGTATTTCTCACCTTAAGCCTCTCTTAGGATGCTTGCCTTCCAAGAGAAAGAGAAAAGGGAAACGGAAGAAAGTGTCACTCGGTACCTACTGGCCGGGCGGGACGGGGGCCGCGCCTCTCCGGCCCCGCCGTCCACCGGCCCGCCCCCGCCGCGGCCCGGGGCGGCTCGCGTCCCTCCGGCCGGCGCGGGGCACAGTCCGAGCGGCTCCGGCGGCGCTGCCCCTAGGAGTCGCCGGGGCCCGCGGTAGGTTCCTTGCCCGGTCCGCGGGCGGCGCCCACCCCCTCGTGCAGGATGAGGTCGGGGGACTCGGAGCGCGGCGTTTCCAGGTTGCTGGCGTCCGTGTCGCTGTCGCTGCCCTTTTTGCCCCCGCCGCCCCCGTTGTGCGTTTTGATGTGTTTGCTCAGGTGGTCGCTGCGCATGAAGCGCTTGTTGCAGACGGGACAGGCGAAGCGCTTCTCGCCCGTGTGAGTCCGCAGGTGCCGCTGCAGCTCGTCGGAGCGGGTGAAGCGCTTCCCGCAGAAGAGCCAGTTGCAGACGAAGGGCCGCTCGCCCGTGTGCCAGCGCAGGTGCGCCTTCAGGTGCGAAGTCTTGCCGTACACCTTGCCGCAGCCGGGGATGTGGCAGCTGTGCAGCCCCTTGCGCCGCAGGCTGGCCCCCGCCGGCCCCAGCCGCTCGGCCTCCTGGCAGTTGGGGCAGTCGCAGGTGGCGCGCCCCGAGTAGCGGCGGGCGGAGCGGGCCGAGCCGCCCCCGGCGGCGGCGGCGGCGCCCGAGATCATGGCGCTGGCCGCCGCCACCGCCGCGCTAGAGTCCGTGTAGGAGGGCAGCACGGGCTTGAAGCCCTCCTGGGTGAGCAGGTGCTGGCTGGTGGAGAGCAGGTGCGAAGCGGCCGTGGAGCCCAGGCCGGTGGAGCTGAAGGCGGAGTGGGTGAGGGAGCTGAAGTCGGGGTTGTAGGTGCCCAGTTGGGAGTGCAACGAGGCCTGGGGGGCGCCCGAGTGCAGCGAGCTCTGCAGCCCCCCCGCCGGGTTCTGCACCTCAAGCCAGGAGCCGGGGTTGGTGTGCACGTCCCACCAGGAGGAGGCCGCTCCGTTGGCCACCTCGCCCGCCGAGAGCGTGGAGTGGAAGCCCGACTTGTACCAGGACTCGTAGGGGTGCGCCATGCCCACCCGCGGGTAGAGGCTCTCGGCCGCCGAGCTGTGCACTTTGGAGATGAAGGCCGACTGCCCGCCGGGCTCCTGCGGGGACACGCCCGCCGCCGCCGCCGAGTTGGAGAAGAGGCCGCCGTAGTCGCTGCTGAAGGCCGAGGAAGTGGGCGAGGTGGAAGCCAGGCAAAAGGCGCTGTTGGCGGTGCCCGTGCCACTGGCCAGTCCGTTGGAACCCCTGCTCGTGGCCACCGTGAAGCCCGAGAGGCTGGAGCCCAGGTTGCAGCTGGAGGTGGAGCGTTTCCAGGGGTGGAAGCCCCCTTTGGCGAAGGCGCTAGACTCGGGCAGGGTGGTCAGGGGACTAGTGTTGCCGATCTTGTTGCAGGTGGCGGCCAGCATGGCCAGGGGAGTCGTTCCAAATCTCGGCTCTTCCTGCGGGAAGAGACAAAGCCGGCCCGTCAGCCTAACCCTTGCCACCTCGCCAGGCTCCCGCGGGGACGCGGCAGCGCGGGTAGAACCGCGGCGCAACGAGCGGTACCGCGGAAAAGTTTTCTCTTATTTTAGAGGAAAGCTCCAGCCCTGCCACGCTGGGCACAACTCGTTTTCCGCCGGAGACCGGTCTCATCGCCCGAGAGATTTACCTCGCAAGCCGGTCCCGACGGGGACAAGCGACACGCGTGTTCCGAGAGGGCTGCTCGAGCGTACCGCCGTTAAACCAAAAATCCCGTGGGAACGAAATGCGGCGTCTCCTCGAGCAACCGTACAGGAGCGACGGAAAAAAAAGAGATGGCAGCAAGGCGAGCAGTGTGCGGAGCCTTCCGACTGTCGCCTCGTGCAACGCCGGGCCGGCGAAAATCTTTGGAAATCGAGCGTAGTTAGAGTTAAAAAACAAACAAAAAAAAAAATCCCAAACCAAATCAAGAACTAGACAAAAGAAAGCAGAAGCAGCACAGCTTCTCTCCGGCCCAGCGAGTTTTCAGGCCAAACTCTTTGGGAACGACCCGATGGGCAGCCCGCAATGAAATCCCCCGAGGCGGGCCGGGATCACCTCCCATCCGCGGGTCCACGCGATTTCGGCAAGGGGCAGCCGCAACGCGGCGGCAACGACAGTTTTTCCAGGGGGAAGCCGCGAGGAAGCGCGCGGTGCGACTTACCCCGAGGATAGACGTAGCCATAGCACGTCCGTGGGCTGGGCGGTGGGGCGGAGGGGACGGCGCTCGGTGAGCGCCCCGCGCTGCCCGGCGGCACTAAGGACACTCCGGCGCGGCGGGGCCAAACTCTGCCTAAGTGCGGGCAGCGCCCGCTTTGAAGTACCGCTGGCGGCGGCGCTCGCCCAATGAGGGCGCGGGCGGAGCGGCCCGGAGCGGCCCGGCAGCCAATCAGGCTGCGCGAAGGTGCCGGCGCCGGGGCGCGGGGCGCGTGCCAGTCAGCGCGCGGGGAGAAAACTCCCGGCTCCGGCCCGCGGCGGCGGCCGCGCCGCAATTACCGCCGGCCCCGGCCCCCGGGCCGCGCCTCCCGCCGGGCCGCGACTCCCGCCGCCCCCGCACCGCCTGCCCGCCGGGGGAGCGGGGCGAGCCGCAGAGGGCAGGAGTCGAGAGCGAGGTCAGCGCCGGCGGAGGGCTGGTGTCACGGCTGACGCCGCTCCGCCGTCTCCTGTAAACTGTGCAGGAGGTGTCCGATGCGCTGCTGCTGGTGTAGTCACCTGCGATCCTCGCGGCCCGTAAACCATACCTGCGTCGCTTTTATTCAACAGGCCCGTTACCTCCTTTTCAAGCCATTTGGGAGCCGTCCATGTTGGATACAAATAACCTAACAGCGCCTAATGACATTCTGTGAAAACACGTTAATTTTTTTGTTTGTTTATTTTCTTTACTAAATGCCAGAAGTGATTTCGTGCACAACGTATTTCTTACTTTCATTGTAAAAAGAACTGAGGAGGCTCTGTGGTTATATAAAGTGCCAAAAAATTCCAAAGGCAGGGAACCGCCAGGCATCTCTTTGCTCTTGTACTGGGGCGGGAGAGGGGACGAGGGGCATTTGACATCCTGTCGCTTAAGATAGAGGACGTTATTTTACAGAGTAATCGGCAGCAAAACACTTTGAAAGTCAAATTCGCAGCCCGCAGCACGTTTTTCAAGCCTCATATACTCCCGTGGAAGCAGTGCTGCTAATGGCAGAAAGCTTGCTCCCTCCTAGCAGTGCAAGGGCGCTGCTGGAATAAGCCGCCCTAGCACTTGCCTGTGGCCTCTGCACTGTGCACACTCCACGCACCCAGTGAGCGACAGGGACTATACCTGCTCTCTGCATGTGCAAAATGTAAGTCCAGACCTCTGCTCCTCAATGTCTTGCAAGCTAGTCCCTTTGATTTGTAATTATTGGAGGCTTCTTAAATAATTGGCTAGAACTTGCCCGTACTGTGCCCGCGGAAGATCAATAGGCGTGCAACTTTTCATCATCGCGGTCGGCTCTGTGAGAATGGGAATAGGAGCTTTTCCCCTTCCTTTTTGCCATTCCCAGGGCAGCTGGGTACAATTCTGAACCAGAAATACGATGAGTGCGTTTAGCAATGCCGGGCCATTGCTCTGCATTTCAGTCAATATTTCCTTCTCGGTGCCGCCTCAGCCATCCAGTGTAAAACCTTCTAGCAGATGCAAAATAGGCATCGCTTAGGAGCAAGATGGAGAAATCGGGAATTTAAGATTATGATTTCGCTTTTCTTCACATGTTTACATCTTTATGTGTGTGTTTGTATGTGTGCTTAAATAAGGTGGGCATTGCGGTTTTTTCTACATTGTGTTATGCAATCTATAGGACGACTGCCATGGACGCCCCTGGAGATTATCTTTTATTTAAACGTCTAAGGCTATTTTCAAAGGGCGCTCGCCTTTTTGTCGCCGGGTATTAAACAGAGTCGGGGCAGTAGGTGAAAAAAATTCTGCTCTGCGCTTAATTCTTTCCACATTGACTCGCAGCCGGCGCAGGGGTCCGGGTGGTGCATGGCAAACCCTTCCCTCGGAAGGTCTGCCCGGAGCAGATCCTGAGCGGCGGCTGTACCCAGGGGGGCTGTATCGCTCGGCGGGTGGAGGCGGCAGAAAGGCGGTGGCGGGGGGAGCGACATAACCCCCACGGGTGAGGCGAGGAGTCCGACAGGGGCACCCGGGAGCCATCGCCCAACAGGTGACTCCTTCCTTCCCTCCTTCCTTCTTTCCTTCTTCCTTTTCTCCGGGGAAACCCGCTTCCTTCCCTTCCCAGGAGCCTGCCATGGTGGTCGTCAAGTGGCAGCGCGGCGCTTCTGGCCAACCCCAGGGCGGCGGGGGGAGAGGGTCTTTCCTCTCATCCTGGGGAAAGTCATCAATAAAATACGGCTGGAAGGCAGATCGAGAGCGTGACGTTTAAAAATGTTGCCTCTACATCAGCGAGTAAAGGCATCCGCTGCCCGCTTGCGCTCCCACAGCAAAGTAGGGATTCTGCTGTGCCTGAAGACTGGCGGGCGGCTCTGCCTGCCGCACATCCATCTCCTCGCCCCTTTGTAGTCGGAAAAGTAACTAAAACCCGCAGAAACGAGGCAGGCGGTGGAAAGGCTGAGCGAACGGCGGCGGAAGGGGGAACGCTGCTAAAATCTTTAGGGGGTCAAGTATTTTCTGACAGATTTTTTTCATACTCCAAAAATCGAGTTTTTAAACAAAGATCAATGTGTTATGCTAAAGTGTTGAGCTGACTGTTAAAACATTTGGGGGGATAATGACAATGTAACAAAGGCCTGGTTTGGAGTGAATCATCACCCTTTTAAAAGTTAAAGCAATTTTCAGGAGAATAGCTTTCAGCAAATGCTTTACATTATTCAAAACGGCCAAATAATGCTCTATTATAGAGCCTGAATGCTGCCAGTCAGCCCATAAGTGCAATTTGTGCAAAGGCTCGGTGCCTTATCTCCACTTCTTTATAAAGAGGTGAATATAAAACAATTTCTCCCAAACCCAGACAGAGAGCACGAAAATTGCTTCCCTTTCTGCAATCAGGGCAATTTAACTGGAGTGCAATTAGCACTATTAAATGTCGATTCTGCATAAACAAATCTGACTAAGAAGCGAAAGTGGGGTGAGAACCTCATATAAACTGAAACTGATTTTTAAAAATTATGTATCCGGGTCCTTTACAATTGATCCGTGACGTTTTCATCGCAGAATATATTTACATCATAAATACATTACAGTTAAATCAATGTAAATCTAAAAAAAAATCTCAATATGAATGCTAATAAAGAATAGCCTAATTAAATGCAACAGTTCACTTTCTTTGAACAATATTGTTTCCCATCTTCTCTCTACGAGTGTCTTTTGATGTGTGCAACTACTAAAGTTGCTGTCTTTAGGAGGTAGAGCTGGGAAACAATTCTTTCATTACAGATGGTTGGGAAGCTCCTGGGTTTATATTCAAGAGCATCAGATGAAATGGCTCGTCTGTTCAAAAAGAGCTCTGGGAAAGAGCTGCCAAATATTTTCCAAATAAATCGATTTAGCAGCAGTTAAATGTAAGGTTGCTGTACAATTTCCCCGGCATTCTAGGAGGGGCACGAAGTTTTACCCATGGCAGTTATGGGTAGGAAGGGGGCAAACCCTTCCAAGTTTAAGAGAAGCAGCCTAATTTTCTGCCAAACAGAAGGGATATGGGCAGGAAACAGGCAAACTGCACATTGCCGAGATAAATAATTGCGTCCTGCCAGATTTTTTTTTTTTTAGCAACAGTTCTTCCGTGCGGAACCCCTCCCCCCTCAATTACACTCTTCATTTACGTGATCTAGAAGCCAGCATTGATTATCAGAGCAACTCAGAGGGGTACCTGGTGATAAATTAATAACTTCAGTTAGGAAAAGGCTCCCCTGCTATTCTGCCCAAGACTAGATACTACAAGGGGGAAGTATAAATAAGGATAGTGTTAAAATACAGACCTTGGTGCCTGTTGAGTCCACTGAATTCTTTCCACTATAGAGTTTTTAATTTGTGGGTAAAGATGAAGTGCAGCCTTTGATTAGAAGGAAATCTTTTATAGTTAATAAAAAGGCAATGAGCACTGGGATCAAATAGATAATGGAAATTAAATGAAAATTATGGCACTCTCCCACAATTTCTGCTTGATCTTTCATATGATGTTTGTTACACGGTGCACTCCCCTCTCCTCCTGCCCCCTGCACACTGAGCTCCGAGGTGGAGCATCAGGCTGGGCTTTCATATTTTCTCGATCTTTAAGGTGACGCTGTTTAGGAGTAGCAGGGAGACCCATATTACCCTGTGTTTAAAAAATCTGCACAGTCGTTTCAGAAATCCTGTCGTTTACTGAACGCACTCAAAAGCATGTCTTTGGAATTAATTCTCTTCCGCTAAATTTATTTGGACTGTGAATTTTAAAGCTCCCTTGTTCTGTTTATCTCAGCCGGAGACACGTTAACAATTCCAGGGAAGACTAGTGTCAAAGGAAGGAAGGTGACTGCAGACTGGATGATGATTTTAATTACTACAATTATTGGGAGATTATTCAACAGCATCATAGATTTGTTTTCTGCCTTGGTATGAAAGTCTGAGGAACACTGTGCGAGGAGCATTGTACGAGGATTTTACCTCTTGGTTCACATGCTTTCCAGGGCTCTTACGATGTATAGGTTAGGCATGACAAGCTCAGGCTGCAGCAGGTTGGAAATTCAGCCAGTGCTAGCGTTCAGAAAGCTTTCTTAAAACGCAGGTGTTTCTAAATAGAAAGAGTTTAATTAGTAAACGCTTGGACCCAACGTTTATAGAGCGTAAAACCGCCTTTCCACACAAGTCCATTAAAGCAGCTCTGCTGACTCGGTAATGAGGTGCGTGCGGTGAGCAGGGCAGCGGCGGCCGGGACGGCGAGCTCGGCGGTCCCGGGCAGCGCCCGGCCCGCCCCGGCCCGCCCGGCTCCTCCGCCCCGCCGCTCTCCCGGTCGGGGCGCGGGGAAGCGGCAGCACCGGGCGGGTGCCTCACCGGAGCAGCCTCCCCGCGGAGGAGTCCTGTCCCCACACTGCTTCCAGCATCCCGCTTCCGGTGCCCTCCTAGCTTTTTACACCACGTTTTTAGCCAGGCGTGACTCAGAATGTTGACTGTGATTAAGCAAGCTGTCTATCTAGAGATAGAGATATGTGGCAGCGTAATTGGTGGCATGATTGACATTACAAAGTTCTCTTCGGTCCACAATGACCAATAAATCCTCCTGCAGCTTTTGCCATTTAATGAATTGCTATTTTGGTAGGGGAAAATATGCCAGACCCCCATTCCTATGTTCTCTTCTTCCCCCTCACCCTGTCCTGGGATTAGGGCAAGGAAAGAAGGGGAGCCATTCATTATGCTCTTTCTGTGTTCTGTAATTACTGGAACTCAGGCTTAAGGTGAATTTCAGCTCAGATCATGAACCATTTCACGTTCAGATGCAAGCTTGCAATACTTTCCTAGTGGCAATTAGGAGCCTATTACAAGCCATTAGATTGATCAATGTACCTTAAACAATGTGAATGATTTATATGGCAAAGAAAAAAACCTTCTTACATCCATTGTACTGTTCCAGCGACCAACCTGGCCCTCTGTCTCCATTCATCACAGCTTTAAACAACAAAAGCAATTTATTTAGTAAAACTTAAATGCAAAGAAGTGGGCTCAGTTCTCTGTCATGTAGGGCATCTGAGCTTTATCTCTTTATTGTCAAGAGATGTTGGCTGCAAGAATTTGAGTTTGTGGGGGGGGGAAAGGGAGGGGTAGATTTGCTGGTTTCCAAATGGATTAATTCACCTTGTACCTGAAAGAAGGAAACAAAGAGATCCCTGACTGCTTCCTAAAGAGGACACTAATCTGCTGTGCAGATGCAACACAAGGAGGAAAGCAGGGGCTTACACAAGTGCTCAGCGAAGTGTTTGGTTAGATGATTGTAGCCTTTTAATGACAGTCTGGACGCAGAACCACGATCCCTGGAAGCTCCAAGACAGCTAAGGAGTGGAAAGCAGGCTGGGATGTGCCAGCTGACGCAGGGACAAGGGTAGGGGCAGCCTTCACCACCATGGGTGGTTATTCTAACTATTCTACAACTAAAAAACTACAAAATATCAGTTACTGTGAAAGCCGGAGCTGCTACCCTGTAGGACTTGGGTCTGTTTTTATTTGCCTCCTTTCACAAGACCCAGGGAACCTCTCATACCTGGAAAATTCCTCCTAGCTCCTGCCAGCCCCAAAATGAAGGGTTGGGAGAGACTGGTGACTTTGCACTTGCTACCAATTTATTAGGTAAACAGAGATTCAGTTCAGAAGGAACAGGGCCATGATTTACCATTTATTGAACTGATGGCCCCTGTTTCTTGCATTTTTGTTACCTTTTTGCTAACCTTATTTACCTTGATACTCAGCACTCCAAAATCAGTCTTCTCTATACATACCAAGTGACGGAATGAATCTTTGGCTTGCTGTTAAACAGTTCTGACATGCTTCAAATTAAAACCGCTGAGAAACAAAACCCCACACATGTGAACTAACTAAACCATTCTTTAAAATGTGACTTCAATGGGACCAGTGTAACTGGTGACAGTGTTTGTTAGAAAAAAAGCTGAAACATCTGTAAGTCTTGGTTCAGCTGGAAATTTATTTTGGAATATCATACGAGAGAGAATGTTATTAACTTAAGATTCCAATTATTATTTGTGTTTCAGCAACAATCTGCTCTCTGGAAATTGCTGCAATGCTTGTCAAAAGTCACTGTTTTATCCCATAATTTTCTGCAAGGAGGTAAGCACAGAGCTCCTCAGTATCGGTACAAAGAAAAGAAGAAACAAGGAATGAGTGTCGAGCTCTATCAAGAGATACCACCCTTTTGCTACAAAATGTGGATACAGACATTCCTGATTTTCCAGTTGTCCATATGGGATTGATACTACTCATTTATTTAGTTATCAGCTAGTTTCTTTCTTGCTAGCAAGGGAATACTAAAACACAATGTCCACTATGTAAGACCAAATGAGAGTTTCAATAGGAATAAGGGCAGTCCTCCCCCTTCCCCAAAGAAGATCCCACATTGAGAAGAGCGTTTATGTTGTGAGAAGAGCATTTCTGGTGAGTCTGTCATACACTAAACCCACTTGTTCCATTTCTTGTAGACACTACGCTATCGAGAGCTTTACCCATAGAATCAGCAGTGTGTCCTGCTTACCTTAAACTTTCTCTTTATCATGGAGGAGACATCAAAGAATAAAAGATCTGGAGGCCTCTTTCAAAGATTTTGTAGAGGTTGTCCATTTAGTCACATTGTGCTTTAATGTCTTTTTCCTTTTCCAAAGCTTTGTATTTGTCACTTTGCCCAGGAGAGTTGCTGGGCCAATCTCCTCAGGACATGTTCTGGCCTTCCGCTACTTTAAGTATTGCTACAAAAGCAGTCTACTTGAAGGGATTTCTGCAGTACTTAACTACACTTATACAAAAGCAGCCTATGCTTCCTAATATGCTGTTTCAGGCCCTTACATTCCAATCTGGCTTGCATTGCCCTTTAATTATCTGTCTTCTTATTGTGATCAAGTGAATTTTTACTAATCTCCACATTTATTGTTAAGGTAAATAGATGCTGCTTTTAATCAGTATGGAGGGCCAGACCAATGCAGTTTGAAGTAACTTAAGTCAACTATAAAGGGTTCAATGTGTGTATAATTACAGAAGACATCAGCTATTCACTCCAGTCTAATTCAGTGTCTGTTTAGAGACAGAGCTCTTCCTTTCCTCTGCTCCCTCTCTCACCTGATTTGCTCCCCACTGTTCCACAAAGCCAGCAAGAAGAGCACAGTGGAGGCCAAGCCATCAGCAGCCCTCCTGAACCTCAGGCTGGATTAATTTAGTGGATTGGAACTCCTCGGTGAGTATAAGCATACGGGTACAATATAACACCTTCTTCCAACAAAAAAGATTAATTGCATCTTAGCCTCGGTATTAAATGTGCTATTATCAGAAGAAGCTGGAATAATGCATGCAGTCACTTTAAAAGAAAGCAGGTTTCCTTTGCGAGCATACTTATTATTTCAATAGTATTTGAGAACTAGTTTAATAGTGGCCACGTTGTTGCTTACTAAAATATATTTGAATTGAACACATATATATCAAGGTATTTTTTCTTAATTTTAGTTTGAATTATTCCTGAAGTTCTCATTAAATTTACCATTTGTAAAGGACAGATTAAATGAAAATGGCTTTTAGAAAATAGAGCTGGAAATTATTTTGACCTTTGTGACCTGGTAGAGGTGATAATTTGCTGCAGCACTGGATGTTGGACGTATCTGACATTTTAGGTATTCCCTCATAGTTTCAGACCTTTGTACTGATGAACTCCACCTGGGACAACTCAGCAGTCAACTTTTTGTTACCTTCATGTAAATGAGAAGACTACAGCTGTCTTAAGCAATCTAGGTGGACACCACCAATGGAAAATTAAACTTGGGCGAGGGCAATGCTAAGAAAAGAATGTCTATTATCCACAATAATGCTCCTAACATTTTCTAAACAGCTATTACCTGTGTCTGTCCATAATTGTCCTTTTTACATTAACGTTGCAATCTTTCTTTCTGAACAGTTACAGAAATCTCTCCCCACTGACTTTTCCATATGTAAACAACCTATACAGCATTTTGTAATGTAAAACAAATGTGGTAAGTAGGTCCCACATTAAAAAATCATTTTGAGTGGAATGTCTGAAATGCTCAGGGGATTTTGAGGGGGAGGTTGGAAAATACCACCACTTGCACTCAGTTTCCAAATGCATTCCCATATATGCAGATGAGTGTCCATAGGACCTGTGGAGTACATTGTTTGGATTGGATTGTCCATTGCTGAATTTAGATTGTCACTGAGAATAAATAATTCACTTTCTCTTTTGCAAAATTATGCAAAATAAGCTGTAGTGGATTTTTGTTATCTAATATTTCTCATGGCTTTTAACTGCACGTGAACATAATTAAACATTATATTGATAATAAAAATATTTATCTGTTTAGAAAACAACTTGACTGCAAAATTCCCAGTTACAGCAAAATAAATAAAAGTCAAAATCTCTATCATCACATCCCATGACATTAGAGTAACATGCTAGTTATTCTAATTGAAATGTGATTCTCTCTAGGGGCAGACCATTATACACCTCAGAGGGATTGAAAGCAGGGAAACAAAATGCAAGTTTCACATTTCTAAAATCTCATCTCCACATTTAAGAAATAGGATGGTCACAATTCCCATGCAGTACTTAAGACAGTGTAACTTGATTCTCCATGATGAATTTTGGAGGACATTTAGCAAAGCTGCAAGGTTTGTTCACCTGAGACATGTAGAAAAATGTGTCAATGTGTCCTGTTTGTCTGGTTTTTGGTAAACATCCTGGCTGAAAGCACAGCTCTCGGAGTAAGAGCAGGCAGTGTCCTCCTGCTCTTTCCTGTTATCACTGCACATACATCAGGATGTGAAATCAAGTAGCCAGACCTTTCAGCCAGTACCCAAGTTGTTATGCACTAACTTCAGAAAAAACTGAGTGAGAATTACATGCTCCTATTCAAAGATGTTGAAATTAATACACACAGAAACTTGTGCTTGTTCAGAGGAAATGTCTAAATTTTCTAAAAAGGTGTGAAGTGTAAAATAAAATTGCAGGCTTTGGAAAGATAAGTTGTGTAATGCCACAGACTGTTCTGAAACCCTCTTTTCCCAGCAGTGGGGGGAGTGCTGATGTCCAGAACACAGAGATGCAACACTGTGTTTTTCCAGGGAGTAGCTGTGGTACCCACAGGTTGACTACCCACATTCCGTGAAGCAGCAGGAGCACAGGAACACCTCTTTGTGCCAAAGTACATGCTAGAGATGCTACAAAATGAGGTTTATTGCCATGTGAGGGATAGACTGAGCCCATATAACACCAGCTGTTCTAATGGTGTGCAAAAACCCACAGTATCTGGAATTTTGCAGCTTCAAGACCAAAATTTTACAAACACTAATTATTTGCAGATGGTGCCTTACCTTACTTGCAAGCGTGAGTGTCTGCACACTCACACTTGCAACTGCATAAGGGAGAGGGAGGGGATCTCTGTAAATAAACTGCTTAAAAAGAAAACCAAATAGTCAAACTAACAGCTTGGTAGTTTGATATTAAATTGCCTATTGTTACAGTATTTTTCAAATAGCTGTTACCATAACAACATATTTTTTCTTTAAATTTTTTTAGCTGTTTGGAAAAAAAAAATTCTTGCCAGAATTCTTCCATAATAGCTTCCATTAATAGCACTGTCTTCTGTTGGGGAGGCCAGTGCTGATGTCTCCTGCTGTCACAAGTCACTCACACATCTAGCAGATGTTTTGTTTGATAAGGCCAATTTGAGCTTTATAGAACACGTTGTGGTTTTTCATCCATTCCCAAAGAGCAAATATCAGTTAGGATGAGACTGATCATTTGCAGGGAGACAAGGAGTGTGATACCTGTCAGCAGAATGTGACCCACCCTGAGAAACTATCTCAGACAGAACTGTAAAAGATTCTCCTTTAACACAGCAATAGTGTACCAAGCACCAAGAGACAGACCTTGGAGCCATACCTATAACAAAAACAAAAAACATGGGAAGGGAAAGGAGGGAGAAAGGAGGCAAAAATCCTTTAGGAGGCCAGTATTTCTCTCCAATTCTGTAGCACATATTTTACTAAATTCTTAATGTAAATGCTGTAGATGAAAGTGGTTTATCTCTATCAGACAATTTATTTCAATCAGAATTGGAAAAAGTGAAAGAAAAGGAATCCACTTTAAATATTGATGCTGCCCCAGCAATGCTGGCAATTTTATTTTGGATTCAGGTAATTTGCATGACTAAGAAATAATTGCTTTTCCAGCCCCTACACACACTTGAATGTGGATAACATGTCCAGATTATTATATTTAATAATTAATCTGCTAATACCATCTTGTTTCTGGAAACAGAGACACAACTATTTATTTTTGCAAGGCTTATTTTATAATCAGGTTTTTCATTTTATAATTACCTAGGACCATATTTTAGCGTAAGTTGTTTGAATTTTTTTAAGCATTTACTGCAGAATTAGAGAAGGTTCCATGAAATATTTGAATGCTATATAAAACTTCTCAGAGGAGAAGAAAATATTGCTATATGTCATTTCTGTGTTAATTACCTGGATCAGAATGAGTGGCAGCTAGCCAGCCTATAGGGCATGCTACTTTTCTAGAGAAGGTGTGTAACTGTGTGCATCCAAATGTGTGCATATGTGTGTGCCCATATTTTCTTTGTACTAGCTAAAAATAATATTGAAAAATCTTAAAACAGTGTTGCTAAACAGTGTACTTTAATTTCCATACCCTTTTATGTAAATCTGCATTCACAAGAGTAGTTTAAATTAATTCCAGAGAGGACATTCCACATTTGTGCAAGTGTAAATGACACTGCAAAACAAAGTGGTTATCTGGTCATAAGGCTGCAATGAGACTACTGCCACATCATCAAATCTTCTGTTTATTTGTGAAGGTATAAAACATTTGGGTGAACCTGAAGACAACAGTGTTTAAAACAGCATCACAAATCCTGTTGCTCTGATTAAAATTCTGGATAGGGTGAAGTTCAGATTTTTTTTTCCCAATATGTAGCTGAAAATACTTCTGTAAGTAAATTATTTTCCCCCATATTTCAGTGTATTTAAAAACATACACACTTGTATGTATTTCCACTTTTAAGAATGCTAGTTCCAGTTTTAAGAATGCAACGAGTCCTTTTGCTGGAGTTTCTGGTTTAGCAACACAGCTGTGTCAGGTTTAGCTGACACACATGATTTGACATAAAAAGGTGGAAGTGGTACTGCAGATGCCTGCAATTTGACTGATTTAAGAATGTTCATCCACACACTGTCCATTAGATTTGCTTTGCTGAAGTGAGGTTACTCAACCTGAGATCATTTCATACAGGCAACAAATCTGAAGTTTTGAAATCAAGAGTACTGCATGCTCCTCTTTTATGCTCCATATTGGTTGTGAATGCATGTAACAAGTGTTAATGAGATGCAGTAAATTTATTAACAACAAAAATCTCTTGCATTCACCCCACTCTGCTGTAACTAGAATTGAGAAGACAAGCTTTAAACAGAAAGAGCTTTCATATCCTGCTTCAGAAGTGTGACCAGCCGTGGTAGGTTGCTCTTGGCCTCATAACTACTGAAAGGACTTTTGAAATGGGCACTGTTTGAACTTCTGAGCATGGTCTATAATCTTGTTTAATAATTGCATCAACTGTGACAGTTTAATTCAGCGTAGGTACCTAAAACTATTCCTGAAATTAATAATAGCCATGCTTTTTAGCTTATGCATGTCAAAAGTTGTAAGACAAATCTCATCATGGAATGTAACTATTTTAACATGACTTTTTAAATAGTCCAACCATTTAAAACAATTGCATAACTTTTTTTCTCCAATTTTTAAAACAAAAAATCTTTCTTTGTATTTATAGGGTTGAATATAGTTAAGTGACCTCTACAAAAACTTCCTCTTTGAAGTGTTCTCTGAAGAGATCTTCAAGGCAACTGAGTGCCTCAGATTGTGATTTTGTAAGGTTTTGATGCTAGAAAATTGTTTAACAAACAGCTCCAAAATATTGAGATTTTGATTAGTAACATACAGTGACATGGCATTTAAAAAAATATAAAGTTTGAAATCTAACATGTGGCAGAAGAGTATGTGTTCCACATGGTTAGGAGAATGGGAATGGGGGCATCCCAATATCTGAGCAGGAGGAAAATAGTTATATAAAGCCAATTAAACTATTGTTTAGGAATATATTATACTGCTGTCTCTACTTGTGCCAGAACTATTCCTCTAAATTCATGGTTGAAGAGTATGATCCTTCAGCAGAATAGGGAGTTTGGGTTACTGTTGCTTTGTTTTTTAAATGTATGTACTGTATGACTCTGCAGAGTCCTGGATTTGGTTAACATTGACTTCTCAGCAGAGAACAGTTTGGGAATATTAGCCTTATTTCTTAAAATAGTAATATGTGAATAATATAAGTCAGGAAATCTAGTTGAGTATAACAGTCTTGAAGAGCAATGCTCACACTGAAATCAGTCTTAGGGCCTCAGAACCTTTCACTGTAGTTAATTTCCTGTAGAGTTTCATACTCTTCACAATGTTGAAACTTTTCTCATAAAAGAGTACTCTGCCAAAAGAAGTTTTGCTCTGTCTAAGGAAGCGAAATACTGCTGTACTTGGAGTCTTTCCAATGACAGGATTTGAACTAATGTTAAGAGATGCTGTACTGGCCTACACTGAGGGGTTAATTTAAAAATCCCACCTCATTTATACCCTCTTTACCACTAGATTAGGATTGCATCTAATCCTAAGTAATTACATATTAGTTGTATATATTAGCTCTAGGGTGGGATCTGATGTTTGCATACAAGTATTTATTTTACTAAATGAAAAGGAGTAAAGACCTACCCAACTCAGGCATCATACATCTATACCCCATTTGCATGTATACCTTTTAAATTCTAAACCAGAAAAAAATTTGTAACTTTAATTTCTGTTTTGGCGTAAGCCAAAAGGGATTTAAAAAAAACCAACAGTGTTGATTAAAAAAAAAATTACAGGAGCAAAATGCAAAGTAGTTAACTCTTCAGTGTGAATACATTAACATTAAAATATGCCAGCTGCCATTTACCATGCCATTGCAATGCTGCAA